TTGAACTCAGGCCCTTGCGCTTGTCAGGGAAGCACTTATTTTACTGAGCCATCTCCTTGGCAATAAATATAAAATAAAGGACTCAAAGTATCAGACCCCTGAAACTTAAAGACACAATCCATAAATGGAAATCTGAAATGTGTAGACATGTCTCAGACAAAGAAATAGAAATGGCAAATATATATATATATAATCTCATCCCAGAAAAAAGGCTGATATCAAGAAATCGAGGGGCCAGGGAGATGGCTCAGTAGAATAAGCACTTGCCTGGCAAGCGCAGGGGTCTGAGTTCAAACCCCAGTTCCACAAAAAAAAAAGAAAGAAATCGACCAAAAATAAATGCTGGTGGTGTTGTGGGGAAAATGGAACCCTTCTCCACTGGTGTTGAGAGTGGAGTGGTGTAGCCACTGTGGAAATCAGTGTAGAGATTCCTGAAAAAACTAGGACTAGAGGTTCCATTCAATCCAGTTATTCCCCTTCTTGGTTTTTTTTTCCCCAGAAATAATTAAAAGCATCATACCACAGTAGTAATATTCATGTTTATATTGACATAGTTTATATTGACATAGTTTGTAATAGCTAAATAGTTTGTAATAGCTAAATCTTGAAAACAGACCAAATGCCTTTCAACCAATGAATGAATAAAGATGTATTTTTGATACAATGGAGTACTATTCTGCCATAAAGAAGGACAAACTCAGGCTTGGGAGATAACTCGAAGTTTAAGCGCCTTCCTGGGAAGTTCAAGGACCTGGGTTCGATCCCTGTTAATGCATACCATGCTGGCCACATGCCATGCCACCCTGTGCCAGGCTGACCACCAAAACTGAACATCATGGTGCACATCTGTTATCTCAGCTCTGGGGAGACTGAGATGTGAGGATCACTACATCCGAGCTGTGTAGCAAGAACTTGTACCAAATAATAGTAATACTAAATAAATACATAAAGACGGCCAGGTAGCTCAGTGGATTAAAGTGCCTGCTTTAATAGGCAGACACAATGACCAGGTTGGATCCCTGGCGTGCCAGGCTGGCCCTGCCCCTGGGGCACGCCAGGATGGTGACTGAGACTGGAGGTGGTGGTACAGCACTTGGGAGGCTGAAAACAGGAAGATCACTATGAGTCTGATCTGTGTAGTGAGACCATGTACTAAATACATAAAAATAAATACATAAAAGATTTTTTAAATTAAAAAATTATGGGTAAACTCAAGACCTTTCTAGGTAAATGGATGCACCTTAAGACCATAGTCTTAAATGAAATTAACCAGACACACATGTTCAAATATTGCATTGTTTCTTTTGTGTAAGAAACTGAAGAGTGGGGCTGGAGAGATGGCTCAGTGGTCTAAAGCACCTACTTAGAACAAGCTTAGCAAAGCACAGGGACCGCAGTTCAATCCCCCAGCACCACATG